AATCCTCAATTAATTTAAAGCATTGAAAGCATCAAAAAAACACCTTATTTGACAACAAATAATGAAAACAAATCACAGCAGTTGTGTAGGATAGTGAGTAATAGGAAATTAAGAGCTGGCTGGGCTTTAGAGAGGGTGAATAGTCTGGAAACAACTATAAAAAAGCAAGCAAATGTCTTGATCTTTATGTACATGTAAGTCAAGTGGGCTGCTAAGAATCTTTGGTTGTTCATTCCAGGGGTGGGGGAGAGGACTAGGCAGCCATATAGCACTCTAAGGTTGGTCCTAGGCTCTCAAATCTTAATTTTTGAAGCCCTAATGCTTTATTACTTTGTGTTTATAAAGTAAATGAGTTTAATTCTTTTACAAAGTATGGAAATCTGGTATCTTTTGTTACCCATACAGAGTTCAAGGTTGGATATGAAGTTAAAGTTCTTAATTGTTATCAAGGCATAACACATGGAGAGAGAGGCCAAGTTCTAACCAATGTAGTTTTAGACTTCTCTATTATACACAGATTATGGGAAGTATGGGATTACCTAGATACTTCTTCCTTCTCTCCAAAATGTTAATTTTTGGCATTCAGGTTGTATGGAGAAGTCTTCACATGTTTTTTAAAAATGGCTTTTTTGTGTGTTTTAACTGGGTAATAAATGACTAGTATTGTGCTTATATTGTTGGATCCAGGATGTAGAAGAGTATGTATGTGAATTTGATTAATGATCTCTAATGTAGCAACAGTTTAGCCTGTCAGTTTGTAAAAACTAGGTTTGTAGCATAGAACTTTGTTTTATTAGGTTTTGTATTAGGATATCTATGGACTTAAAACAAACCTGTCCAATGCTGACATCATCTTTACTGCCTTTGAGATCACTTTGTATCTTTCTTGCCTATCCTATATAATAAAGAGGTGATATGCAGATTGACTGTCATGCCCTTGCACAAGATGGCCACCCCAAGATGGTCGGCAGTGGAGGGCAGTTGGGGGTGACCAGGCTGGCAGGGGGGGGCAGTTAGGGGTGAAATTCATGCAAGAGTAGGCCTTTGCAGCCCCTGCTGCCTTGACTCTCGCAGCCTAGGCTTCGTCCAGACAGTCGTTCGGCTGTTTGGCCATTCATTCAATTTGCATATTACACTTTTATTATTATAGATGGTTGCAGATCAAAAAAACTTGATTTCTACCTTGGAAGCAGTCATAGTCTAGAAAGAGAGAAAACATTTTGCGTTATATAATAAGAATTATATTGGAGGTATTTACATAGTGCTGTGGAAGCTCAGAAGAGATAGTGATCATATCTGTGTGGGGGCATTTTGGGAGGTTTTTTCAAACTAGTGATGTCGAACTGGGATTTTGATGATCAGTAAATGTTGGCCATGCTTAAAAAGGTGGAAAGTTTTATAGGCAGAAATAACTGAGTATAAAGGCAAGAAGTTTGAAAGGGCTTCATTATCACTTTAGGTTGGGGTGGGGAATATCCAGCCCCTGTAAAGCCTGTGAAATCATTTGGTCTGTCCCTGCCAAAGCATTAGGGGTGTGTTAATTAAATGTTTGACCAAATATAGCAGGCTAATTTTTAAGTTGATAATTTTGTGTGGAGTGATAATGATGCCAAATGGTCCTTGGCAGAGAAAAGGTTCCCCATCCCTGTCATAGGGGAACATTGGAAGCTCAGAGTGATTGGAGCCCAGGGCGGTATATAGCGGTGATGAGGATGGACAAATAGGTTGGGGCTAAACTGTGAAGGACCTTAAGTGCCATAGTAAGGTGTTTGTGTTTTTTTTTCTTGTTGGGAGTAGAGAGCCATTCAAAATTTAAAGTAGAGGAATGTTGTACAAACTGAGAACATGGAGAATTGGTCAGAAAAAGGAGAGTTTGAAAACATAGGTATGAGTTTATAGCGTGGACTGGCAGGACAAATGGAAACTACAAAAAATTGATAGATTTATTGCTGATATGTTTGAGTTTAACATTAAATGGTGACAGGCTAAGTGTTCCTGTTAAGCTGACAAAGATTTTCAGACAGGATTAAAAACCAGTTTATTATTTACACGAGACTTCTAAAATCGAAGGACAAAGAAAGTTTGAAAGTAAAAGGGTGGGGAAAAATATACCAGGGAAATTATTATTAGACAAAATAGACTTTTTGGCAAAAAGAGATAGTCACTCATACTAATAAAGTTGTGTTCACTAGGAAGATGTAACTTTTTTATTTTTTAAATAGATTTTTATTGATTTCAGAGAGGAAGGGAGAGGGAGAGAGAGCAACTTTCAATGATGAGAATCATCAATTGGGTGCCTCCTGTACTCCCCCTACTGGGGACTGAGCCTGCAACCTGGGCATGTGCCCTTGACTGGAATCGAACCTGGGTCCCTTCAGTCTGCAGGCTGACACTCTATCCCAGTGTTGGCGAACCTATGACACGCGTGTCAGAGGTGACACGTGAACTCATTTTTTGGTTGATTTTTCTTTGTTAAATGGCATTTAAATATATAAAATAAATATCAAAAATATAAATCTTTGTTTAACTATGGTTGCAAATATCAAAAAATTTCTATATGTGTCACGGCACCAGAGTTAAGTTAGGGTTTTTCAAAATGCTGACACACTGAGCTCAAAAGGTTCGCCATCACTGCTCTATCCACTGAGCCAAACTGGCTAGGGCAGTGTTTGCTTTTTATATGTGAAAATAGTATTAGCTGTTTTATGAAATTTTAATGAATCATTTTTAGCTTCTTCCAGCTGATAATTGCATCATGGATGAACATAAACGAGAAATTGTGGAAGCTAAGCAAATTGTTAGAAAACTTACAATGGTTGTATTGTCTTCTGAAAAAATGGATGAGCGAGAGAAAGAAAAGGAAAAAGAAGATGATAAAGTAGAAAAGGTATATAGTTCATTCCAGTAAAGTTAACATTGTTTTCAGGATTTAGAATCATGAAATTGTAATAGTTAATTAACTTATATAAAATTTTTTTCCTAATTTTGATTATGGTGAAACATGATTTTTGGAATAAGAATTTACAAAGGTGGTTTTGCTTTTAATTTGATTGTTGCCTTCCCAAAAGAGGCTGCTGTGTTTTTTAAATATAAATTTCAAAATGTATTCTAAGTAAAATCACAAATGTATTGACTATTTGTGCTATGCATATTAATGTCTCTCAAGTCCTAAAGGGATTCTCACAGAATGAATGAATTCTGTGGCCCAATAAAACATTAAGTACAACTCAATATAATTCTGAGTCTGTAAACTGTCACACTGCATGTGCTACATGAAAAAGCAAATCCTTTTGGTTGTACTTTGAGGAAAATACCGTTGAATTTCCACAAATGGCAGTTGTTGTTGACATACATTGTTGTGTGTTTAGCCCACGTTTTTAAATGAAAAAAAAAATTAAGATTTATTGGTGTTCATATTCTGAGTATCTTTGCTGTAATTATTCATTTGTAGCCACCTGATAACCAAAAACTTGGTTTGTTGGAAGCCTTATTAAAGATTGGTGATTGGCAGCATGCACAGAACATTATGGATCAGATGCCTCCATATTATGCTGCTTCGCATAAGCTAATAGCTCTGGCTATTTGCAAGCTCATTCACATAACTATCGAGCCTCTCTACCGAAGGTATGTTACTGTATGCTTTATTAATCATTGAGGTATAAATAGTTTAGGACTATGACAAAATCTGCATATTTATCTTGTCTCCTCAAACCATGCATTTATTTTAGTGTGTTTTATCAGAAGATAATAATTTATAGTGTATTAGTCTGATATGTCTTAATCCGTGATTTGTCTCCTAATGTCATTGGAGAATGTGTGCTGCAATATACTCTAAAAACTGTAGGTTAGACTTCTAAGCTGGGTTTGCTCCTTTGAGAGTAGACTCCATTCTTCTGTTTTTCACTTTCCCCTCCTCTTTAGGGACAGAGAATTCCTAAGGCTTTTACTTAGCGTAATTTTCTTCTATCCTGGGTTGAGTAGCTCTCAGTGAGCACCTTGCTTCTCTGCTTGCCGTATCTCTCCCAGCAAATAGGCTGCTGTTCTGGAAATTGATAGTGCAGCTTCTCTCACCCTCCCTAGTTACAATGTTCACCAGTCCTCTAGCTCAGCCTACTTTTTAAGATACTTAAGAGCAGTAATGGCAGCAGTTCTGGCTTCAGTCCCACACATCAGAGCCTGCCTCAAAAGCTCCAGCCTTGTGATTCATGCATAGCTGCTGGCTGCTGCCTTTAGTGCCACCTGGGTTGTGGACCATGAAGGTTTCTTCTCAGAGACTGACCCCTGTGACTCCACAGTGGGATACCTGCTCAGCAGGTGAGAACTCTGGGTATGCTGTCCTTTTCAGTGTACCCTCTTTCATTATGGTGCTCACTTTCTCTTTCTCCAAACCTACCTCATATGTGGTCTAAATAGTGGAACACAGATTGAGAAATGTTTATTGACTCGAATCAGTGTTGTTATATTCATACCTTCTTGTTTCATCCCCACTGTCTCCGAGGTCCATCCTTTGTTCCCCATTCCCATATGCATTTTGAGTTTTTTTTTAATTGTTTGCGGGTAGTTTTTATTGTGCACTAACAGGTGGCATGGGCCATTTTTGCTAATTTTTTGCGCAAATGGCAACGTTCAATAAAATTACAATAACTTTAGTTTACGTATTTATACGTTACCCGCATTCTACCGCTAGTCTATAAAAAACGTATTAATAAGTGTCCCGCGCTCTACTACACTGGTAGAACGTATAAATACGTTTCCCGCATACAATGTGTTAATGCTCTTTCAAGGATATGTTTTTTATTGGTTGTAGAGGAAGAGGGAGAGAGAGAGAGAAACATTGATCTATTGCTTCCTGTACACGCCCCAACCAGGGATCGAACCCACAGCCTGGGCGTGTGCTCTGACCAGAATCAAACCTGCCACCTTTTGGTGTATGGGATGACACTCCAGCCAACTGAGCCACACCAGCCAGAGCTCCCATATACGTTTTCCTGATACTGGCTGAGGTTAACTAAAAAAATAATTCATATGATGTATGTTAAATGTTACTTGGAATCTGCAGTTCTCTGATTTCCTTTTCTTATGCAGTTAATGTGAAACATTCTCTTCTGAGCTCTGATCTTTTTCAAGTGAATATTCTTTTTGTCTTTTTCTACGAATTAAATTAGCTGGTATAATAAAGTTAGGCACAATAGAAATATAGAAAGTATGAGCAAAAATTGTTTTACTTTAAGTTGAAATGAGGTATTATACAGTATACATATAAATTTTGCTTCTTTTTATAGAGTTGGCGTTCCTAAAGGTGCTAAGGGCTCACCTGTTAATGCTTTGCAAAATAAGAGAGCACCAAAACAAGCAGAGAGCTTTGAAGATTTGAGGAGAGATGTCTTCAATATGTTCTGTTACCTTGGTCCTCACCTTTCTCATGATCCCATTTTATTTGCAAAAGTGGTGCGCATAGGCAAATCATTTATGAAGGAGGTTAGTAAGTTTTTTTCTTTCAAGTAGGAAATTAAATTTTGAAATGTATATATTTGTGTTATGTGTATCTCTAGAAATAAAAAGAAAATGAACTCTGAGAAAAGGTTATATTGAGTAAGGTTTGTGGAAAGTCCATTGTGTCGTAACCATTTGTATTTATATATATATATATGTATATGTATGTGTCTATATACACACATAGATATGTAGATACAATTATATAGAGTATATGTATATCTATATAATTATATCTCTATTTTTATCTTTATCTAAGTCTATGTCTATGTCTATATATTTCCATCTCTCTATCTAGCTAGATTATTAGTCAAGTGGTCCACATAGGAAAATATGCTTTAGACAAGTGAAAGCTTTTTGAATCCTCTTGTAATTAGTGGTTAACTCATCATTCTTTCCCTTTGCTTTTCTTCTTCTCAGTTATTTTCTTAGCTGCTATTTTGAATCATTATCATTATTTGTATGAAGGCCCTTGAACCTCAGGCTGTTACAGATTCATATTTTAATTTTTTTAGTAAACTTTTTATTGAAATAAAACACATATAGAAAGTACATAAATCATAATTGTATAGCCCAGTGACATTTTCCAAACTAAAACACCTATGTGTCTACCACCCAGATCAAGAAATAGAGCCGAACCAGCACCCTAGAGTTTTCCTTGTACCTATCCAGTCACTACCTCCAGGGTAACAATTTATGCTATATTTTTTTTGTTTTTAAAATCAGCTTTGAGTTATAGTTTACATACAATAAACTTCACTGATTTTAAGTATACAATTGATGAGTTTTGACAAATGTATATAGTTATTCACCAACCACCACAATCATGATATAGAATATTTTCATCACCCAAGAAAATTCCCTCTTTCCTCTTTGTCATCAATTCCCTCCCTTTATTGTTGGTTTCCGGCAACCACTGATAGGCATTCTGTCACTATAGTTTTGCTTTTTTTCTAGAACTTCATATAAATGGAATTGTACATAATGTACTATTTTCTGTCTGTTTTTTTTCCACTTAATGCTTTTGGGATTCTTTCAAGTTGTTGCATGTGTCAGAAGTTCCTTTATTGCCAAATACTACTTCATTGTATAGGCGTAACCAAATTTATCTATTCACCAGTTGATGGGCATTTGGGTTGTTTCTAGTTGGGGGCCATTATAAACAAAGCTGCTATGAATATTCTTTTCCATTTTTTTTGGCCAGGGGGGAGGGGCACATGTGTTTGTTTTCCCAGGAATGAGATTGCTGGGTCATATGGGTAAGTTTCTGTTTATCTTTTTGCCAAACTGTCAACATGTGTGACCATTTTGCATTCCTGAAGCGATGTGTATGACTTCCAATTGCTTCATGTCTGCATCAACACTTGGTATTGTCAGTCTTTAAATATTATTTTAATTAAAAAATATGTTTTATTGATTTTAGAGAGAGGAAAAGAGAGAGAGAAAAACATCGATGAGAGAGAAACATCTATTGCCTGCCTCCTGCATGCCTCCCACTGGGGATCGAGCCCGCAAACTAGGCATGTGCCCTGACCGGGAATTGAACTGGTGACCTCTTGGTGCATCGGACGATGTTCAACCAACTGAGCTACATCGGCCAGGCAGTCTTTTAAATTTTAGACATTCTAATGGGTGCATATTTGTTGTGCTTTTCATTTATGTTTTTCTGATGATCAGTGATGTTGAGCATTTTATCACGTCTTAATTTTCTTTTGTAATCATCTCTATCAAATTATCCATTTTTAATTAGCTTGTCTTTTATTATTATTTCCCTGTCTGATTTGCCCTTTTATTTTATTAACTGTCTTTTGAAAAGCAAATTTTTTAAATTTTAATTAATTCCATTTTGGCAGTACCTTTATTTTTTGTATTGCTCTGTGTTCTACAAGATCTTTGCCTAACCCAAGGTCTTGAAACTGAAAAACCCCTACATAATTTCTTTTCAGTTGTGAAACAAGGCAACGAAAAGAATCAAGAAATTGTTATAAGCACAAACTCACTTCTCTCCAGTGTTTGATTGCCTGTAATTTTAACTAAAAATATTTTTGTTTATTTGTATGTGCCCTGACTGGGGATTGAAGCTATAACGTTGGCGTATTGGGATAACACTCTAACCAATTGAGCTACACATCCAGGGCTTAATTTTTGACAGTAGTGACTGTGTAGAAAATTTAACAACTGTTGTATATTAATCCCTTGACACCTGAAATATTTGATTTGGTTTTTAATGTTTAGCTGGTAGATTAATTTTTTTATACTTACAAATTTACTGTTATAAGGTAGCTCTGAAGAAATCTGCTGAGTAGTTTATTATTATAGATACCACTTATTATATAACATTTATATAAAAGAAAGTATAACAGTGTTTTATTATCTTGATCCATATAGTCTGAAAAGGATGAGTCATGTTAACTAGTTCCTGTTCAAAGAAAAAAGGTTGTATCTTTCCCAGTGCATCATTTTGGGAAGCATGTGAAGTCAACTTGTTTCCCTACTGGTGATGTTTACATTGATCGCTTGATTAAGATGACAATTGCCAGGTTTCTCCACTGTACAGTTGCTCTTTTCCCTTTTGTTGTTAATGTATCTTGTGGGGAAGATACTTTGAGACAGTATAAATTGCCTCTTTCTCATCTTTAACCCACTAATGCTATTCTTTTTATTTTTCATTGAAAAAAATATATTATTTATTTCAGAGAGGAAGGGAGAATAAGAGAGAGATAGAGACATCAACGATGAGAGAGAATCATTGATTGGCTGCCTCCTGCATGTCCCACACTGGGAATTGAGGCCACAACCTGGGCATATGCCCTGACCTGGAATTGAACCATGACCTTCTGGTTGTTAGGTTGACACTCAACCACTGAGCCATGCCGGCTGGGCTCTAATGCTATTCTTTTCAGTTGAAAATCTTTTTTTTTTCCTGTATCAATGTATCTTTTTTTGTATTCAAAATGTGTTTATTTGGATAGTTCCCCGTTCATCTTGGTTTGAGGTACTTTCAGGGCTACTTCCTTCTGAAGGAGCATCCTCAATTAGCCTTGCTTTTCCTCCTGTAGGCTGATAGAGGACAGTGGAGCAACCAACACACAAATCTTCCATTTGTGCAGGGCTACAGATGGTGGTGATTTTAGCATCCTGGGCATTTCACATCCATGAAGTAGGCATTGGGGCTCTACACCAGGTGCTTCTTCTTGTGTTTCTTCTTCTGGAGAAGGATAGAGATCCTTAGTGGAGGCATCCTGTCTTAGGGAGGTCATCATTACTAGAAAGCTTGTTGAAAATCTTAATGTTCAGACCTCTTGTTCTGAAATTCTTTCTTTGGCTACAAGTATCATAAACTTGTAAGCAGGAGACCAAATATCCAACTTGTAGAAGTCCTGTATACATAGACATATGCATAAATATATGCAGTATTGTTATCAAGATACACAGGTGCTAGAGCTATCATCCTTCCTCTCCACCATCTCCATTGCAGCCCTCTTATACCTCTGTTCTATCACAGTTGTGCCTGATGCCTCATCTTTAATTTTGCAGAAGTAGAAAGACAGAAGGGAAGTGAAAAATGTTTATTTTGATCACAATGTGGGAAGAAATCTGTCTTCTCTCATTGCTAAGGTTGCGGTAGGAATCTTTCTAAAGATCTGAGAATTTTAGTTCTTTTTTTTACCCATAAAAGTATTTCAGTGTAACAAATCATTTGTTTTGTATTTATAGGTTTAAAGGCTTCCTAGCTAGGAATTTAACCAGGGTTTATAAGATTTCTTTTAAAGGGAGAATGTGACCTTAGTTCCAAATAATGTATCTACAATTAAACATCTTTAACAGAGCTCTCATTCATAAGCTTGGGGTTGCTTGTATATATAAATTGTACATATTTTTAGAAAGTAGCTTATTTAGTTACTAGAGGCCCAGTGCATGGATTTGTGCACCAGTGGGGTCCCTCGGTCTGGCCTGTGGGGATCAGCTGAAACTGGCTCTCTGACATCCCTTGAGGGGTCATGGATTGCCAGAGGGCTCAAGTCAGGCCGAGAGATCCCACTGGTGCATGGTCAGGGCCTGGGAGGGACTACATGAGGGCTGCAGGTTGTGTCCAGCCCATCTCGCCCAGTCCCAGCACAGAAGTGGCCCTCCCCAGCCATAAGCCCAGTGTCAGGAGCCTGGTGGTCAGCTGAGCAGCGCTCCTGCTGTGGGAGTGCACTGGCCACCAGGGGTCAGCTCCTGTGTCAACTGTCTGCTCCCTGGTGGTCAGTGCACATCATAGCGACTGGTCGACTGTCTGCCGCCTGGTGGTCAGTGCACGTCATAGTGAGCGGTTGAGCGGCCTTATCATTAGCATATTATGCTTTGATTGGTTGAACGGACGACCGATGACCAGACACATAGCATATTAGGCTTTTATTATATAGGATAGCAGCTATCACTTAACAGACTAGTCTTTCGGCCTATAGTTATTAGTAATCATTTATCTCTCTGATTGTGCATGTGTGTGTTTGTGTGTGTGTATTTCTTAAATTTGAGGTAGGTAGTATAGGACTAGTGCAGCAGGTCCTTGAATAATGTTTTGTTTTAACATTGATGATGTAAACATTGTTTTAACATTGTTTACATCAATTAGCCTATGGTAAAATTGGTTTCATTATATGTTGTTTCACTTCAAGTCACAGAATCTATCAATGATGTTAACTGAGGATTTACTGTACAGTGATTTTCAAACTTTAGCATGCAGCAGAGTCACTTGGAAGTATTAGAACACAGATTAGTGGACCCCATCCTCAGTTTCTGATTCAGTAGGTCTGGGGTGGAACCTGAGAATTTTCATTTCTAACAAGTTTCCAGGTGATGCTGCTGCTGCTTATCAAAAGACCAAACTTTGAGAACTGTTGTTCTAGTTTATTAATTACTTTTGGTCTTTATTTTAATCTTAAAAGAGGGAGTGGCATACCTCTCAATATAAAATGTTTGTATATAAATGGAAACCTTTT